CTCCAAATGAGTATGATGAGGAGGCGTGAGTCCTCATTGATGTGCTTGGTGTTTTAACCAAGGGTTATGGTAACTGTAAATGCCGCATGCTAAGGATATTAGTTGATTTTATGATATTTCTTAATATATACTGTTTTCTATTTTGAGTTGACCGATGATACCTACTCAGTACCCGTGTTTGTACTGACCCCCTACTTTTATGTTTTCTTCTTGTTTATTTGTGGAGTGCAGCAAACGTACCGTCATCTTCAACTCAACCGCAATTCTAGCAAGTCTTCGTCACATCGGATCTTCAGGGTGAGCTAATGCTTCTAGCTTGGACTGGATCGTCTTTCTCATGTCTTGATGCCTTGAAGTTCCGGCATGGACTAGCTTTTACTTGTTTTAGCTTTTAGAATACTCTTAGTTTAGTAATTGATCATAGATGTTCTTGTGATGATGACTTCCAAATTTTGGGGAATAATAGATGTTGAATTTTAGACGTTAATGAATGGGTTTTATTTAATGAGTTTGAGTCTTCCGCATTATTTACCGTTGATATTATATTGAAATGTTAGAGTTTAGATTGGTTGGTTCGCTCACATAGGAGGGTAAGTGTGGGTGCCAGTCACGGTCCGGATTTGGGTCGTAACATGAAATGAAATTTATATATTTTTAAATTACGTAAAGAGTACTATAAAATTATCATAATTGATAATTCAAAATGTTAAAAGAATCTATTAAAAAATTACTGTTAAAGATAAACTTGTTTAAATTTCGAAACGCGAAAAGTGCCATATGAAATGAAAATGAAGGAAGTTCTTATTTAATCAAAATTATTTAGATACAACGTAAATGCTCCTTGCTAGAGATTGTGAATTAGCAACTTTTCTTAATCTCAAGGAACATAAATTAGGTTGCTACATAAGTCCAATATAGTACAAACATTTGGCAATATATATGTACCAAAAATAAGCCGGTCAAACTAATATAATTATATTATACTACTTATTAATAGTAGGCCAAATACATAAACCACCCCTCGAAATTGTCCTAAAATAAATCACTCCACATTTTATCGTAATTTTGTTTTATTTTAATCCATCGATCCATTGTCTGTGTACCATTATTCAATATAAAGTGTTTAATGTGTTGATAAACATATTAAATGTATGAAATATTTAATTAAATAACATCATATGTTTTATTTTAAGTACTCATTTTTCTATATTTTTAATTCAGCTCTTAGAAGATGTACCTTCCGGTTCGGAAAAAAGGTTCTAATAAGACCCCTATTTCGAGTAAAAATCGATCTTCAATTAAGAAAAAAACTCCTTTTGATTGCTGATAATAAATACTAAAAACGTCATACTTTTGCCAGGTATATTTCACGCAAAATTGCGTTAGAAACTATTAAAAAGAAATTCTTCTTATTTTAAAAAATTGGCGTTCATCTGTCAATTTTAATTTTTTGTACATGACTACGACCAAACATGGTCTAAAAGGATAGTTTGTTAATATATAGTTATATAATATCATATATTAGATCTACGCATCAACTACTATATATTATTTTAAAAAAAAAATTGAAATCGAAACTGCATTTGATTTTACATTTTTATAAATACATATTTAATTATTTGAGTGTATTTTACCAAAAATAAATATGGTTTAAACTCTTAAACATGATATATAATCAAAATTGGTTCATTTTTATAAAAATAAAAATTTTAAGGTAAAAGTTAAAACAAAAAATATACTAAAAGCTAAAAAGAAGAAGAGAAAATAGAGTTATTTAAGATTTTCACGATTAAACACTTCAAAGTGAATACAAGTTGTGCATCAGTTGGTTCGGTTTTGAAGTTTATCGGTTTCACTAACTGATTATCGGTTTGAAGAGATGTAAAACCGTTATAAAACCATTAAGATATTGACTTATCAGTTATTGATCATTATCGGTTCGATTATCGATTTAACCGTTAAGATTTGACACAAAAATATTGAAAATCACTTAATAACAAGGTGACAAACCAAATGAACCATACACATGAGTTCACAAGTTACATCTTTCTTTAAAGCAAACACTTTTACATTGTAGAATAACTAAGAGTTCGGGACAATCAGAAATAAAAATTAGAAAACAAAACTCTAAGTCAAATGCTTTATATATAAAATTGTATAAATATAATTATTTAATTTAATATCGATTTATCGATTAACCCATTAAAAAAAATCTAAAACCATTAAGAATCAATAACCCGATAGCAAAAAAAAATAAAATCAACCATTAGGACTAACAAATAACTTTTTTCGATTCGAATTATCGATTTTGATTTGATTCTGAACTCGCGGCAGAATTCGTCCTTTATACTCTCAACTGAAATTTGGGAAATGTGGTCACACATAAATGAGGGTAAAATTGTCATTAAACGTCATCATTTTAGGGCTTATGAACTGGGATTAAAACTCGCACGATGAATACATGCATTTCACGTGTTTTGCCAGGTTGGACTCGCGTGTTTATTTATTGAAAGGTAGGATAATTAAAGTGTATATTTGTGCATTATGAAAGTTGGAGGTCAAATTTAAATTTAAAGCCAAGTTTAGGGTTCAATATATATATTATGCCTAATTTTTTACGTGAACACCAAAATATTGATGAAATATTCAGTGAATATTAAATGATGATATGGTTGTTGATGAAAATGATGAGCAATCGGCTCAGGGTAAACAAAGTTATGTTCTTTGTCAACTTTACGATGTATGGAATTATGCTTGTTGCACTCACTACAAACTACGACATTGCTCTAGTATCATGGACACTATTTGTTATTGTTGCAATAAAGATCTAATTGACTTGTAATACAAACTTATGGTTAGTTTTGATAGTTTTTAAAACTTATGGGGATAAATCTCTAAAAAAATGAAATATATTTTTCAAATACTATGACCAAACACATGGTGAAATTTCACCCAAATAATATTTGCCAAAAATATTTGGAAATCTATGACCAAACGCTAGCTAAGTCAAGTACTTTATATACAAAATGATATGAATATAATTATTTAATTTACTATTAGATTATCGATTAACTCATTAAAAAAGAAAACCTAAAATCATTAAGAACCGATAACTCGATAACCAAAAACAAATCAAGACCATTATTAGGACCCCTAAATCAATAACTTATTAGGACTAAGCAAATAACTTTTTTCAATTCAAATTATTGATTTCGATTCGATTCTAAACTCGTCATTTATACTCTCAACTAAGATTTGGGGAATGTGGTAACACATAAATGAGGGTAAAACTGTCATTAAACGTCATCATTTTTAGGGCTTATGAACTGGGATTAAAACTCGGTTCTGTAACAGCGAAAGGGTTTACGCCATAGCCAAAGAGATTGAAGGAAGGATGTTTGCAACAGCGATAAGGTTGGTAGGGAGGAAACCAAAACCAAAGATGAAACCAATTAAGCTTAAAACTCCACCCGAGCAGACACAAACCATCACCAGAACCATTTTCGATATCGTCAAGGAGCATGGACCTCTCAATATTGCCGAAACCTGGGATCGTGTAAAGGTAATTAATTCCTTTCTCTAATTCCAATTCACCATTCTATATACAAAATAGATTGAATCGTAGAGTGAATACATTTGAATCATTCATATACTTAGCTTGAGATTTTGTTGATTTGTTGCCGAACTGGTAATCTTAGATTCTGGAACTGCTGGGTGCTGAATAAGAAATGGACTTTGGTACAGTGGTGAATGAATTGAAATAAATGATCTATTTTTCCTTTTTTACCCTTTTCTCTAATACATCTAAGTTGGTGTTTGGGAGATTTGTTGAGATATTAACAAATTTACAGATTTTGCAAAAACTTGATTGCCTCTGGTTAGATTTGAAATGAATGGTCAATTGTTAGTCAGTGTAATAGTTCAAATAGTATCCTTCCAATGCCTCTTTTCAAAGGGTTGATGCTAGGATTTTTGTTAGAGGATTGTATTGAAAACTGTAGTGATATGGCATCAATAAGTTGATTGTGTGATCCAGTTCTTAGTTTGTAACAGTTGATTTATGTTTAAGCAACCTAAACAGGTTCATGTATCAGCTTGAACTTTTTCATCTGAAATCGACGCACACAAAGTTGTGCTTGAAAGAACCGTCAATATTCTTCTTTTTTCTGTTCGAGTTTGTAAAGTTGGGAAAAACATATTCCCTCCGTTTAAAGAAGAATGACCCTATTTCCTTTTTTAGTGTGATTCAAAAAGAATGACCCCTTTCCTTTTTTTGGCAACACTTTAACTTCAACTTTCCACGTGACATGTTTAAGACCACAAAATTAAAGGGCATTTTGAAACATTTGATATAACTTTAATTTAAAACCATAAGATTAGAAAGTCTTCTTTCTTTTGTTAAACTCCGTTCCAAGTCAAACTAGGTCATCCTTTTTGAAACGGAGGGAGTATAAATTAAGTTTTCTTCCATGGTGCTTCTATGCGCTGATGTTTGACTTTAGTTCAACATCATTCTCTTATCTTTGATACTTTGAGCGGTGACTTTGTAGCTAATAGGTATAGACTGCACAAACTTTTATGCTCTTGATCTCTTAAGCAACACCATATCTTAGCAGCTTCACAAGTCCCCTAGGAGGCTTCATGAGCAGCTCATCTTGTCATCTGTTACCCTTATTTTCTTTAAGATCCATTCTTCTCTAAGCATCTCCAGCCTTGTATTTTATCATCCTTTGTGTTTGTGAAATGAACTTGACAAATTGCCGGCTGTTGCAAACTCTGCTAGGTGTTGGAAATATATGATGCACGCAAAGAACAATTGACCGTTAAATTTAAGTAATATCTCTAGCATCTAATTCACCATATCAAGAACAATTAGTTGCTATATAACAAATAACAGGTGTTTTTTTCTCCATTCTATTTGTGGTGCAAGTTTAGGGGTTTTGAGTCTTCCTTTTTCAGCTACTGTACGTCTTCCGAGCACAGAGTGTGCCATTTTTTCTATTTCTGAACCCTTGGTACTTAACTCTGAGAACTCTAGGCTGTTCTTTGCTAACTGTTTTTCCCTGTAAAACTCCAGGATGTTGGCTTGAGAGGCTTGACAAGCAAAGGGCACATGAAGATTGTTTTAAGATGGATGAGGGAAAGACAAAAGCTTAAGCTTATCTGCAATCACGTAGGGCCCCAGAAGAAATTTCTGTATACGACATGGTTCACAAATCCAAATACAATGCATACAAAGCCGGGATCTGATATTTCCTCACCAAATACAAAGCAGATATTTTCAGGAAGTAATATTACCCGGCCAAAGTCATCATAAACCCTATAATGCGGTGTCTGATTATGAACCAAGGACTTAACGGAGCTTTCTATCATTGAGTAGTTTATTGTATTTCAAGTATTGCACTATTTTTCTGCGGTTATTGTTCTTTCTTGTAGACTTTTACATTGCTTTTCTTATTAACTGCTATGCTTTATTTTGGCTTGATACACTTCAGCCAAGAGTCTTCCGGAAACAGCCTCTCTACAAAACAAAGTGATTTGAGTAGAGCTGAAACGAAGCAACATTGATCTTGAAATAAGCTCTCAAAACTAGAATGTCATTGACAATTTTGAGGCTTCTGGTAATTTGTTACTTCTTTTTTAATTACCTATGCAAGTTGAGAACATACTTGTGTTTTATAACTATCAGTTCAGATATGAAGGAAAACAAAAGTTGTCTGGTTAAACTCTAGTTTGCCCAGGTTTTAAGAAAAATCAGTTGCTTGATGATTGAAACACTACCAACAATTGATATCTTCTGGCCCTGTAATATGTTTTTATGCTCATTTTTACCTTCTGCATTCCGCCTTGGTTCGACAGTTCTCAGCAAAGAGTGATATATCGTTCATTTTACCATCTACAGTCTCTCTTTAACTCTTTCACGTCTCAGGCTAAAAGTTGGTTTCATTGTGCATATGGCTGGATCGTCTTAATTGTCTTTAGTACTTCCTTGCGAAAGACTGTTTTGGCAGATAATTGGTGCATGAAATGTTGTAGAGCGCCAGAGTAATTAGACTCATTTGGAAAAGGGGAAGTTTACTGCTTAGCAGAAATCCAAGGCAACTGAAGAAGTGGACAAAAGAATTGTTCAATGGACAAATTCAATATGGTCGTTCTACCCTCCCTAGATTTCACTTGTGGGATTATACTGGTATGTTGTGTTAATATCAAATAGACGATTAATGTTTATCATGTCCCTTCTTGTCAATGTTCAGCCAATTTGAAAAGCAATATCTTGGGTTCCAAATGGCATGCTGTTCCATTCATTCCAGAGCTTAGAATTCATAAATTTTGCTTGAACAACTCGTTCCACATTGCCAGCTTTGCTGCAAATATGTTGCGAAATGACAGTTGGTTAATAATGAGAAAATAGAGAAACAATTGTCTTCAACCACATTGTCATTGTTCTAGTAAAGAATATATTGGGCATAAACATGATTCTATTGATCTTTGACATGAATGGAGTAGAAAAGCTTGTTTGTGGAGAGAGAATATATTCAATATAAACAGAGCAGATGCTTCTGCTCCAACATTGACATTTTGAGTACTTTTTATATTTCATGAATCTACACCCCAAAGCAAAATGGATGTGTTGTTAACCAAATCGTGCATGCCATTCTATCACAAATTAGTGTTATAACATTATATTATTCATGCACGTTATTTTTACTTCAATTATACAAAGAATTACTTCATTTGTCTTTATTTTTTTTTAATGAAGGAATAATTTTATTATGAAGAGCTTGTTTGTTCGAGCAGCTAAAAACTATTTATTTTAAGAAATATTTTTATTAAGATAAACTTTTAATCATTTTATTTCCCGATATCCTTGATCAACTTCACAAAGGTTTAAAACTTACAACTAATTAAGCTATTAGTAAAGGCAAGAAGTTATAATCAATCATTTGTAATGCATTGAGCATGATTTGAAATCTTATAAAGTTGAATGTCAATTCTCAATTGCCAACCAAATCAATCATCATATTGTACTTGTAACGAACATATCTCTGCTTCACTTAGTTAAAAAAACTAGTACTAACTTCATAACTAATAAGCCACCAACTCCATTTGTTAACATACACTCCATTCATTGAAAACTATATATAGTCCTCCTTATTTCCATTGCTTTTATGATCACATTCTCAAATAATCACTACCAACAAAATAGGCATTTATGATGGACAACTTCTATCACTAATAATCCACAACAACTCATTGCTAATACTATTTAAATACAGATTAAAATCATACTCCCTCTGTCCCTATTTACTTATCCATGTTTCCTTTTATATCTGTTTCTATTTGCTTGTCCATTTTAACAAATCAAGAAAGGACAATAATTTTTTTCCTAATATGCCCTTATTTAATTCTAGAAAATTACTAGTACTACTAAGTTGTAATACATGCTTAATATGTGTGTCACTTCTAAAATGGACAATTAAATAGGGACAGAGGGAGTATTAGATATGGGTTATTTGACGACAAATCAATAGAACAAATTTCATAGTTGATTTTTTTTTAGGGAAAATTGTATATAATAGCAAACTAATAACCTAAAATAAATGGAGTAGCTAGGGTTTGATTTAATTGTGCTCCATAGCAAACGTTTGCAAAAGAAATTGTCAGACGCCTGTCTCCCAAATATCTCACTCGCCACTCTCCTCCAATCTCTCGCTCGCTTCCTCACTTTTTATACAAACACAAGTGTATAAAAATTATCTCTAATTGTATAAAGCAGAGAAAATTGTATAAAATCATATATTTTTGTTCCCCTCTCTCCCCTCTTCCAGATCTCGCTCGCCACCCTCGCCTTTCTCACTTATACAAACAGAAGCGAAATATATAAATTGTGTTTTTGTTTGTATAAAGCATGAGAAAATTGTTTATACACATGCAAGTACATATATTTTCGTCATATACACTTATAATTATACAATAAAAATACTCCCCTGCACAGTTTCTTTTGCCTTTCTCTCTTTCTCGTTTTATACAATTTTCAAATTGTATCTAATTTCTCTCTTTCTCGTTTTATACAATTCGATTCAATTGTATATTCCTTGTCAAGTCTCTGTTGTCTTTCTCTCTTTCTCATTTTATACAAATTCAAATTGTATATAATCTTTCTATACATTTATAATAATACAATTCGTTTTTATACACTTCTCTGCCCAAGTGTCTTTCTCTTTTTTGTTTTATACACTTCGTTTTATACAATTTGCTTCAACTGTATATGTATAGCGAATTATACAACTTTTATATTTGCTATGGAGCGCAATTATACAAATTTTATTATAACATACAAATATAAATTTTTTATTTGCTGCATATGAAAGTTGCCCAGTAGACACAAGGATGTCATACATGTGATTCATATAATTTTTTAGCCACCTTTGCTGACAACTTTCCCTCTAGTGTGAGGATCCAATATTATATACATTGATATTGAAAAAAGTGTGTGTTTATTTAATTACACACTATTTTCGACCAAGAGAATTCAATTGAATCTTTCCAAATCAGGTATACAAAAAAGAAGAAGAAGCTGAATTTGTAGAATTGTGGGTTCTATAATCTACAAAATTATTCTATTAAATACGGGGTTACATTAGGCTCCGATCCATTAAAGTTTATAAAATTTGCTAGCTCCTAACCTTTATTATTATGATTATTATTATTATTTTTAAATAATGTAGGAAATAGATAATTTTTTTCCCTTTTTCGCCTTTTCAAATCGTTTTTACTATCTTTCTGGAAAAAAGATGAAAATTGCCCTTATACTATAACAATAATATCTTCCATTTATAGTGTGGCTAAAAAATAACCTTGTCGTCAATAATTTGGTATAAAGATGCTCTTACAGTCAATACTTTGATCTAGAAATGCCCTTATAGTTAATAAATGAATAAAAAATGTCCGTTTCGAAATAAATATTTTATCTCTTCTCTTTTTAAACACAATCTTCTTATTTTTAATTAAAATATTATTAATTTCTTGTGTTCTTTTTTTAAAATTACTTTAATAAAGAAAAATGTAGGAAATATTTTTCTTCTTAATCTCATATTATCAATTAAAATAGAATAACTTTATGTATCATTTTGATGAATAATATTTGTTTTATATATAAGATCATTGTATATCCATTATTAATTTTTATTTATATGACGATAAAAAATAATTATAATAAAATAAGATTTTTTATAATTGAAGTAGGATAAATATTTACAAATTTGAAAAAACATTATTCGAAAAAAAGTGTTAAAAAGAAAATAAGTAATATATTTATTTGGAAAATGATCATTTTTGACACATTAAATTTAAATAACAATAAGAATATTTTTGGATCAAATTATTAGCAACAAGGACAATTTTGGACGAAATCATAAACGGAAAACATTTTTATTCGTTTAATAAAATTTAAGAGCATTTTTGAACCAAATATTAACGACAAAGGCATTTTTAGACCAAATCGTTAACGTAAGATATTGTAGTTTATTTCACCCACTAGTCTGAGACATTTTTGGCATTTTACCAAAATACCCTTTTTACTAATAGTCCACTATACTCGGTTGCTCTGATTTCTTCTCAAGGTTCTGTTGAAATTTGTAGAATTTGAATTTGAGTTTAATATTTTGGCCAGAAATTTGTTGATTTCTTCAAGTTTTGGATTAATCTGCTGCTGATGTAAGGTTTTTTCTTTATGATTCTTTAATTTTGCTCTTCAAATTGTAATTTTTTTTTTCTTTCGATTTGTATATGGGTTAAATTTATTTTCTCCGCTCATTTGTGTTTTTTTCTCTAGCGATCCTGATTTCTTTTGTATGTATGTGGCTAAGATTAGTTTTTTTTTGGTATATTGATGGATTTTGAGAATAATTTTGAATTGTGTTCTATAATCTCAATTTTCTCAGCTATCTAAATTGTAATTTTGAACTGTGGTTATTCTGGTTCCCGAATTTCTTGTTCGACTCTGATAAGCCGTCGTCTTGGGCTAGGGTTTATGCCTGGAATTTTTTATGTGGTCGGCTCGAAATGACTTGGCAATGATGAGTTGTGATAGAAAATGGAGGATAAAAAGAATGAGTGAAAATTTTGAATGTTGAAAATGGAGTAGGGAAAACAAGTTGCTGAGTCTTATTTTCTAGATATTTTGCAGCTTTTCAACTCTATTGGTTGTTAAATGCTATTGAACCAGTTGTTACTTGATTCTCTTTTCTGTTTCCCATTTATGAACTTAACATTTTGTCTCTTATTCAGTTGTATGGTGGTTCATATACTCGAGAAGAGATAAATGCAATCACGATTGAAATCATGCCTAAAACATTACACAAATAAATCTAGTTGTTGAGGAGAAAGATGATTAAAGGATCAAGAAATTCAACATAACACAATTCTCTATTTATGCCTAAAACACTTGCTGTTATTGATGACAAATAAATGTCTTTGAATAGAGATAATGGTAAGGCCTTGTTCAATCATTTAATCATGTATGGTTATTGCTAATCTACCATTCCAATCTTATCTTAGATAGTCTGGAATAGGCATATTTCAGAAAGTTGTTTTATTTATTGCTCTAAATAAATGAATGACATAGTGCCATATACCTGGAGAGCATCAATAAAGTCAGAGTCAACATCTGTGACAGTCCACTGATCAGAAGGTGGTGTTGTTGTCTTTGCCATGGGTGCTGGTCCTTTAGGATTAGGCTCCGAGATTTCACTGATTACCAAACCAATGCCACCTCTGGAAGGAGGAAGGGTGTAAATAACATCCTCAAAGCCATCGTCTTTCCAATAAACTTTAGGCTTATAACAAGTGACGTGTGCATTAGGTATTGTAGCTTCACTGAACTTCCATTTCAAACAGTCAGCTCAACTATCCCTGCATCTGAAAATTTGATACCTTTAAGATCAAATTTCTCTTGAAGAATATCAGGAACAAAAGTTATACTGCTGCCTGAAGCTTTCATTACATAAAGCTTAGGAAGAACAAGAGATAAAAGAGCTGCAGCAGCCAACTAAAAGTAACTTCTGTAGATTTGATAAAACTAATTTAGAAGTCAATAAACAAAATCCTCATGCATTCAGCCAACCCTATGTTGCTCAGACTCTCCAAAAATGATGCCACACTCGTGTCAAATACTCCAAATATAGACTACTTTTTGAGGATCCAACACCCACAATTTTAAAGAGTCCAAGCAACATAGGCCAAAACCCAGAACAAATACAAGGAAAAAGGAAATTTCAAGTAACACAAAGGGACTGGTACACCACAGATTCATAACAACCACTCTGTCACTTTCCCTCATTCCCTTTGATTAGGAGCTAGAACATACAGAAGGAGCCTGAAGAACAAAGAAACATAAGTAACTGTGTTATATTTTGGCCATCTAAGTCCCTTTGGTTGGAAATTTTAATCTATTAACTGTCATTTTCTACTTCTCTCCCTTTTGAAGTTGATTCTAAAATGAAGAAAGTCGTGTGCGGAAGGTGATGTGGGGACACTTAAATAAATTTAAATCAAACAAGAAAATTTGAAATAATATTATTTACTTTTATTATATAGACAATGTTTTCCTTTTAGGACGTATTTCTATAACAATATTCATCAATTAGTTTTTAACCTTTGGATTGTATATAAGTTCGAGGATACGGTATTAGAATATGATAATTTTGTTGACAATAGTGTTTCAGGAAGTTGCTTCTGGCGATATTCCCTACTCCGAGTTACGAATGTCAGAAAAAGCAGAGCTTGCAGCGGTGAGGGCGTACTTTGGAGTGCCGTGGCCGCAACGTAATGAGGGATTATCCTACCATGACATCGTCCGACCCACCGATGCTGGTCTGTGTTTACATAAATAAACTCATTTTTCGGATAAACTTTTTTTTAATTGTAGACTTCTTGCAAAATTAATAGGTCTTACATTGATCGAATTCTACTTTAGGAAGTACAAAAATTCAGCTCCTTTACAAGGGTAAGCTTCCAATCCTTTGTGCAAAACTTCTTTTTATTTTTTTGCTTGTGTTGTTGAAGATTCAGATATTAAACTGTTGAACAGTTGGTTGCAGAGAATTCAAAATAAACAGGTTAGTTTGTCAAGGAAATGGTCAAACATGGTGTTTAATGCACATGGAGTATCTTGGGATTATGAATGAAGCTTGGTCATGTTTAATTATTGCAGATAACAATTGATGGTAAAGTTGTTATCTTACCAGATACTGAACTCAGGTCACATCTGTATAATGATTTTTTTTTTTGGCAAGATTTAGCCTGCATATGTTGGGTGAAGTAATATCTGAAGTGTAGTTTTTGGATGTGCAGAGCAGGTGCTGAATTAGTATATCATCGCCTTCCTTGGAGAGAACCTGATGCACCTTACTTGCTAGAAGTACTATTTGAAGATGACTACTTGGTAAATTAAATTTGAAGTTATTTTTGTTATCAATGTTTATACTTTATTTATGCGATAGAGGAAAACTGGGAATTTCATGTGGAAAGATCAATGACCACATCTTAGTGATGTCCTGACACTTAAGAGAGATGAAACTAGACTTGAGTACTCAGGTGATCAATTAAAAAGTTAAAGACATCTAGATGCATATAGGGCTTGAGCAATTCAAATGCCTACATGAAGGAGAAATCATGACATTTCCTTCCAGTCATAAACAACCTTAAAGTAAAAGACTGAAATCTTGTACTAGCTCCACCCTTCCCAAAATAAATAATAATAAAAATATATGAATAAGATAAGATAAAACCAGTTTCCTTGTATTTGTGATAAAACACCTGTTGGCTATCCATCTTGTCAAGAGGTTTTCTAAGAGAACTTGGTTTAATAAGCAAAACTTAAAGAAACCACATTGGTAGATTCTGTGGTTCTCAAACTTTATTGCTTTTCTTTTTATCTTTTTTGCAAGATCTTGTCTTCGTCAGTATTGTATGAAAACCAACACCAGGGGGTCCCCAGCCTCTCGGCGTCTCGCTACAATAAGTTACAAAACTATACCGGCAGAAAGCCTTCCTCGTGACTTGTGCTGCCACGCTTGTCTAAAGCAGCCTTCTCCAGCGAGATCTACACCACACATCGCACTCGTGAGTCTCTTTTCAACCATTTTTTCGAAAAGTATCGCTGTGCATCATTCCATCAAAATCAGCACTCACTGTGCAAATTCGGTTACTACTCACAACTATCTCTATTTCTGTTGGTAATGTGCAAAATCCAACACTACCACAAGGTCTACTAAACCTCCGATGACCAAAGCCCAACCAGTGTCAGCGGTCGCGGATCCCTCATGCGCCCATATGCGCTGGTGCATGAGCCTGTTTCGACCAGTTTTCGGCAACTTTCATATTCAATGTCGAGTAATCTCTTTATTCTGAGGAGATCCATATATTTAATACCAGATTTCAAGCACTTTTCGGCCACCACACTGCATTGTTTCGGTAGATATGAGTTTTTCAATAGTGTTTTTTCTCTATTTCAGATTCAGTTTTGCCAAAAAAGGTATACTCAAATATTTGGGCTGGTTTACAGGGATACTTTCTCACCCATGGCTAAATAGCATCTATCCGCCTTTTTCTACTATGGTTGTCTTTCACCATAGGCCTTTTAATCAGTTGGACATTAAGAATGTTTTACTTCACGGTGATCTTGAGAAAGAAGTCTATATGGAGCAACCATTTCATTATGGAATAAAGGTTTAATTGTTGTTGTTATACTTGCATTATAACTGGTGTTTGCCAGAAGTCTTTTTGGTTTGGTTAGAGATTTGCATGTCCTGTAGGGATAAATGCGATAATCTGTAGGCAAATTCCAGTATAAGAATAAACCCAAATGAATGGATTGGATATAAAGGATCTATAGAGTCACCCAACTTGTTTGAAATTGAGGCATAGTCGTTCTGAACTCAGAGATCTTTTTCTGCAGGCCCAGTTCTGATCTTGAATGAAAATTTTAAATTGGGACTGGTTAAAGTAAAGAAGCCTTGCGGTTGGAAGTCTTATGGGTGGATGTATAAAGAAAATGGAGTATTTATATGTATGCATGTATAATGTATGTGTATGTGTGTGTATAATATATATATATATATATATATATAAATAAAATAAAATAAAGAGCATAATGTAGCATAGCTGATAGAGAATTTTCACAATATCCCTTATGGGCCAAAGGTATATTCATGGTATGTATTCTCAATTTTCAGATTGTTGTAAATAAACCTTCTGGTTTGCAAGTTCTTCCTGGAGGGTTATATCAGCAGCGGACCGTCTTGACGCAACTCCAGTGGCATGCATGTAAGCTGACAACCACTTCGTCAGGTTGTCAAAAAACACATCCAGTCCCAGTTCATCGCTTAGGAAGGGGTACATCAGGTGAGTTATCTAAGTACATCTGTACATGAATTTCTGCTCCAAGTACACTGATAGAACAAAGAATGAATTTGTGTTCCGAGTATAATTTGTAAGATGGGTAATCTTTCATTTAATGTCGTGTCCCTTTATTTAAAAAGAACAGAATTACATTAACCTGTCGTAAATGGTAGTAGAGAATTTTTAATTTGAATTATTAAACAAAATTACTAGATACAAATATAATAAGATATTTAAATTGTAGCCATGTTTTACCTCCTTTCTGCAAAGGAAACCGAAGCATAACCAATTCTGGAAAAAATAGAATACAAAATCGAGTCATCATGCAGAATAGGTTTTTACTAGAACTATTGGCACTATCTAATATTATATAATTTCATGTAACAGTTTATAATTCCTTTTTTTGTTCTTCTGAAGTCAAGTAAGAAAGAACATTGTTGATTCTTTTATGGAATGTTCCAGGAATACTGCTCTGTGCAAAAACAAAGCTTTGTAAATCTCGCCTTGCAGCATATTTTGCTGAGGGGACGTCAGTTGTTGAAGAAAAGTATGTTGAATTTTCTTCACCACTTAGACATGCCATATTTTTCCGTACATACTTATGCTGCTGTTGTTAATATCAGTAAGATGCTAAGAGCATCAATATGATAATACAATATTGATAGCTTACTGTCTATGCTCGAGTGTCAGACACTGATTCTCCAGTTGTCTTATTAATGTTATTATTGCTCTTGAAAACATTTGTTAATTTGGCATGCAAACTTCTCTCTTGATTAAAGTCGGATATGCCACCAATTGCTAAACATCAGATTGTCCAAATTCTTCGGTTTTTCATCATGCTTAATCAACAAGCTCCTGTTTAAAGGCCTATAGCAGCTTGGAAATTGTCCCCCCTAATTGGAGTTCTAGAGAGAAAACTCAGCTTACTCTATACTTGTACAAGGTTCAATTGTTTAGTGATTTCAAGTGTTCGAGTATTTTGGTGTTTTAGTTCTAGCATTCACTTTTTTCTAGAAGTACCATCCACTTATTAACCTCATACTTCCACTAATTGTTTCCAACATACTGAGGTTAATTAGTTTCTTTATTTTCTTTTATTTGGACAGTATTCTGTAGGCATAGATGTTTTTTTGCTTTAAATTTTAGTTTGACCATTCTAACAATGTGTACAGAGAACTGTTATAACTTTTGGATTGTAAGTTTGTGTTATGAAGGTAAAGAACACAATGAGAACTACAAAAACATACCCAGTGTGATCCCACAAATGGGTTCTGAGGAGGGTAGAGTGTACGCAGATGTTACTCCTACCTTCCTTACCTTGTGATGTAGAGAAACTATTTCCAATAGACCCTCGGCTCAACAAAAACAATTCAAAATACGGCTAACAAATACAAGGTGAAAGAAGCTCGGATGGAAATACTAAGAAAATATTTATAGTAAAAATTGAAAGATAACCAAAGCAAATAAACGAAGTAGTGATAAAGTTGACGAATAAGAAATAATAAAATAATAATGATCATATCGAAAAGGAGAAGAGGGAGCAAATAAGATACTCAAAGCCTAAACCATGCTCCTCCACAACTATCTGCTAACCTTCTACCATTATCCTCAACCTCCATGCTCTTCTATCTTGGGTCATGTCCTTGGTGAGTTGAAGATGTGTCATGCCTTGTCTAATCACCTCGCCCAATTCTTGTGTAGTCTACCTCTACTCTCCTTATGCTGTTCCATTTCTCTTTTTTTTTTCTTTTGGGGATGTTTAGCTCGATATTTCCTAGTTAAGAAGGTAACTCAGGTCTTTGAGAGCTGTTATAATGCTGAAGTAAGAAAAGACACAGATACCAATTGCTACTATTATATAGAAAGTTGCCTCGTTGAAGTGAGATTACTCTATTCCTTCTCGATGCAGATTACAAAGTGCTCTTTATTTATTTGGCACCCTTATTTTGAGATAAGGGTAACTTTGTATTCGCAAAAGATTCATCATCCAAGAGATGCTGAATTGGAAACTTACATCCCATAGTGTGATGAGCACACCTCCATGATGGTAATCAGACTACAAGTTCCCTAAGAAATCAACTAATTCTACCCCATTCCCTACAAGTCTTGTTTACACCAAAAAAATAGAAGACTAGTACAGTTTGTTTTAGTCCTCTGAAAATTGATTTTCTGTCCTTCAAAGCACCTAGCATTCCTTTTCTTCCATTTAGACCACCAGATACATGCTGGGATGAGCTTCCACCATTCTTCCTTCTTGCCTCTACTTCCAACTCCTGGAACCCTTATTAGCTTCATTCATCCATAGTTCCATACATCCTTCCATATGTAAAATTTAAATAAGAAGCTGGTAATTAAACATCCAAACTTTTACGTTAATATACTCCAGACTTGGTTCTCACAAGCAGCACATATGCTACCCACTCAATCAGTTCCAGTCACACCAATGATTGGAGAGCACTCATCTCAAAGTCAGTTAAGCTCTTCAGTTTGTTCTGTTTTCAACAATATATCCGTTCTCTGAAACTTTAACCTCTTTAGTAGACTTGATTTGTTGTCAGGTGAGAACAAGTGTCTTTCAACCTTCAGCAGACTTTGTAGAGGTGATAAAAACAAATTTGGTTTTAATCGAATCTTCAACTCTTACCTTTTGACTAAGTATTCTCTAAATTATCCTAGTAACTCTCTTGCCTATCAACACCACTTCATAGAACACACTGTTGAGGTCATCAGAGAAGTCTCTGATAAGTATGAATCAATTGGTCAATGCATAGGATATTGTATGTCTTTTGGTCCCCTTAAATATCTAACTCTCTATTTTGGTTTTCTAGGAACTTCCTAGAATACAATCAAGTTGGGCACAAAATTAGCAAATATCACGACAAAAGTTGGGTGCAAATTTAGTTTGATTTATGTCCTTTTACAAGCTACATGGTATCCACTTATAGAAGCTTGAATTTCTGAAGTCGAATCCAGTACATCTAAACATTAAGTTCTATGATTACAGAGTTTTCTGTAGGGGTAAGGTCTGCATATACCCCATCCTCCCCGTTCCCAGACCCCACTAGGGGAACACACTGGGTATGTTAATGTTGATTACACACTTTTCCATCTTTACAAAATCATGCCCACTCCATTTATAAACCCCCCAAAGGAGAGAAAACCAAGTTCTTACAGATTAAAGAGCAGTGAGACCAGTATGAAGGACTTCATTTATTTTACCAACGTAGAAAGACTTCATTTTCCCTATATCTTACTTGTAGTTCACCTTTACTTCTGCATGCTTATCGACTTGTCGTGTTATATAATGAAGATAGCTGTTGGTTAGTAAGTAAGGAACTAAAAGTTTGGTGTTAGGTCCACATCATTTCTGTTGCATTCTTCCTTGAGATTAGCTTTGTAACTTTTGATGTTTTGATCTTCTGAAGAAATGCAGTTATTAAAGAAAAACGAAATCCTAATCTGAAGAGGGTGACTTTATTTAACACTTTTTGGAATGGCACTTGTGGACCGCCTACTAAAGGGCAAAGAAAATTTAGAAACATCATTTACTTCTTGAAAGTTGTGCCCCATCCTGTACTTTTCTGCCATAATTAGCGTATATTTTGTCTTGTAAAAAAGTTATGTGGATCCTTTTGACACGGATGGTTAAACTTTACTTTTATAGATGCACCAACTCAGAGTGCAATACAATGAGGAAGATTTGCAAGATATATCGGGCGCTAGTAAGTGGTGTGATGGATATGGATGAGGTAATAGCATAATATTATTCTCCCGGTTTCAATTTTTCTGTTTGAGTGTCTATTCTACGGAATTCAATCCATCAGGTTACTTAAATTTAAAATTAATTTTGACTGATAGGCTGTCATCAAGCAACCAATTGGTACAATTAAATATCCTGGAGTTGCTAAAGGGTTGTATGTTGCTTCTCCTTCAGGTTTTCAAATTTATTTATTTTAGGCGAACATTTTCTTGAATAACTTTTTATAAAAGATTCATTCAGTTATCATTCATGTGGTGCTTCAGAGGACACTAGTGTTGGCTTAATCTGTTCTGATCTTTTTTTCTAGGGAAGCCAGCTTTGAGCAGTGTTCGCGTTCTTGAAAGAGATTCAGAGAGTAACTGCACATTGGTTCAGGTATTAGAAGTCAAGACATAAGAAATTTAATATTATAGCCACCTTCCTTAACCTTCCTTACCCTTGAGCAGGAGAAGGAACCTTATATTTTCTTTCCTTAACGTTGTACATTATTACAGGTTGAAATTCAATCTGGAAGGCCACACCAAATCCGCATCCACCTCTCTTTCATAGGATATCCACTAATTGGTAAATCTGAAACTTTTTACGCTATCCTCCCCTATCATAAAAGAATTAAATATAAGCATAGAGGTGGAAGTATCAGTTTGTCTTCTAAAAGAAACATGCACAAAAGAAAAGAGAAACACGAAGTTCGCCAACTTCAGCCATGTATTGACTAGTACTCGACATTGGATGGTGCATTGCAAACATTTGTTGTTCTTAGTTCTATGAAAGCATATCAGTAAGTATCTACTTAATTGCACGAGCAAGGAGAAAAGGTGATGGAAGAACTTAAGTCTATACGTTGGGTTACAAGAAGAGAATGAGTCCTGAACTATGCCTGTGAGTATGCATCTACTTTGTTACAGAAATGTCAATGACCTCTCCGATGAAGTCGACATGAGGCCCTCTACAACGTTAATAATAAATATGTTATTGGAACTATGTTTCATTGGAGTGTGTTTCTTCCTCTAGATTATAGCCAAGCAAAAATGATTTGCTTATCTAAATGCAGGTTTAGATACTTGTTCTGTTGACAAACACTTGCTAACTTAAAAAGAGCAGTTAGTAATTCCTTACTGTATCATTCATTATGTAATTTCTCATCAAACATCTCGTGTTCAGATTTTATTATCAACTATGTTCCCTTGTTTACCAAGGCTAAGAATTGTTATCCCTGAGTTAATTGTAACTGTGTGCAAGCTGAACTTCTAGGCAACTGTACTGAGTTCATAGACCATGGGGTGTCTGTTTAAAGAGATTGGTTATGGAAAATATAATTTGTATACCTCATCAAACTAACCAATGTCAATTGATTAATCTGTGTATAATTAGGATTGCTTTTGTAACATAACTGTAGCATGCTACGACAGCTTTTCTTTTCATGTAAGTAGTATTACAAAAAACTTGTTTTGCTCCTTCTATGATTTATTAATAATTGTATCTTACAGGTGATCCTCTTTATGTATCTGGTGGGCAACCGAAGTGCTTTCATCCTGAATTATTGGATGAAAGTTTTGAGAAAGATGGGTATGAAATTGGACTTTATTTGTCGGTATTCATTTTAATTTGATAGTCCTAGTAGTAAACACTAACTGAATTTGCTATCTGGATTATATCCTTCTTCCACATCCTTGTTTATCCTGTTGTACTTATCAACAATGACCTTTATCATGGCAGTTACAATAGTTTATACATTATGCCTATTTTGGACCAAATACAGCTTTATGGTTCATGTAATTGCGAAGATAGTCAAATTACTTAAAATTGAAACAGAAAGTAGCTAAATGTTTATTCTATCTAATCACCTTTAAACAAAAAACGATCGCTTTGTCTACTGCTAATATCATGATCAGATATTAATTGGCTTTACTTTCTTATTAGTGGCTATCAAAGACCTGAGAATCCTGTTCCTGGAGACTGTGGATATAACCTGCATGCCCATCAAATAGGTCTTATTCACCCAATAACAAATGAGGTTAGTTGCTTTTCTTAGTATTGTTTTAGAAACAGTAATTTAGATGTTACCGATCTAACAAAGTTCAATAGTTTCAATGTGACATTTGCATATTTACATCCCTAGCAATTCTATTATTAGCCATTTGCAGTTTGACATAAATGAATCAGAGGAGTATTCATCTGAAATGCTTGTTTCGATGAAACAGTGTTGCTGACAGTTTAAACTGTTAGATTACTTTATCGCTGTTATCACTCTATACCTTTATCAGGTAGCAGCACTGACTATCAAATGCGACCTTAAGCATGTACTCATCAATTTTTTAGTCTAACTATGAAACTATATTGATTCAATGTTCCCAAGCTTTCGATGCTTTAGATATGGGCTGGAACAAGTTCTGTTTTGGTTAATACACAAAGAGGATCATGTTTGACAATTGAATTTGTTTTTATGAAACATTTAAACAAGGCTACCTTGCTAGATATCTCAATTCAAAGTAAACTTTTTGACAGTACTTCATCTTGCAGCTTATCAAAATTACAGCACCTCTTCCAGCTATCCTTCAAACACGAGATGAACGCGAGGCAAACCAGCCAAACTCCAGCTAGTATGAGATGATTTATAGACACAGAAAGATAGACAAAGTTGCCAGTATTGAGCATTACCTGTTGTTTCGCTCATTAGTTTCACTTTACTGTTTTTAAACATCTCCATTTCTGTTTTTCCCATGAATATTTTCTGTTGTTCCTTTTTCCCCTTTTATCGATACGTATATTTCTCATTTGATGCATTTTTAATGATAAACTGAATCGTCATTATATTATTATATTAGATCTCTTTTGGAGTAATCATTAGGGGTGTGCAAAAATCAAACCAATCGATAAATCGAATCGAAAAATGTTATTGGGTTATTGGATTTTTAGTGGGTTTATAAAAATTTATTTGGTTATTGGTTCGGTAACGATTTTTAATATTGGGTTATCGGGTGCATTGATAACCTAATAAGACGGTAATAATTTATTATTTTACCCTTCCTAATTATTAAATATTAATAATATTAATATATAATTAGACACTATAACTACATCAATTTATTAGTACTCTATCAATTTCACGCTAAGCCCCTTAACTAGTTTATACTATTTACTCAAAGCCTAAAGATTTTAGTAAGGGTTCACAATTCTAGCTATTTAATTTGTAATTGTAGGTTGTAACATTTGCAAGTTTGTAACGGTTCGTAATTTGATTGTAATTATAGCCTTCGTACTATATTTTTTTCTTATTGATGCAATTTCTCATTATTTTTCTTGTTTTAGTATATCAAAGCATTTAGAGAAGTAAGAAGGCATATAATATTTTACGGACACTTTCTTATTGGGTAAACTGAAAGCTGAACCGATAATGATAAAAAATCGATAAATCGAAAACCGATAATGAATATCTTATTGATTTGTTATTAAGTTAGCACATTTAAAAAATGAAAATCGATAAATCGAACCGATAATACATAAAATCAAACTGAACCGACCGATGCATAATCGTTGCATTTTCAAAGAAAAAGAAATCAACTTGGACAAAGGTTTAAAAATATAGCTAACTAAGCTTTCTTAAGTGAAGAATTTATAATCAATAATTTATAGTGCATTGACATTGAGAATGATTTATAATCTTGAAAATTCTTATAAAGTTGAATTTCAATTCTTAATTGCCAACCAAATCAATCATGATAGTGTACTTGGTAAAGAACATGTCTCTACTTCACTTTGTGAAAAAACTAATACTATTTTCATAACTACTAAGCTACCAACTCCATTTGTTAACAAACACTCCATTCATTGAACACTATATATATATATGGATCAATTTCATCAACACAAGCCATAACTTTTATAATCACATTCTCAAATTAATCCCTAGTATACTAATTAATTAAGCCCTCAACTAAATACTTTTCATTATGGCTCAATCAATGAGCTTCTTCATGGTTATTGTTCTCCTTGCTTTTGCACCAATTTGTTTGTCTTCTAAGACTTATGGTGGTTATCTATTCCCACAATTTTACGACAGGTCATGTCCCCAAGCTAAAGAAATAGTCAAGTCTATTGTTGCCAAGGCCGTAGCCAAAGAGGCTCGAATGGCTGCTTCTTTGCTGAGGCTGCATTTCCACGATTGCTTTGTCAAGGTAACGTTCTAATGTTATTATATGCAATGTCACACCCTACTTTACGTACTCCCTCCAATACCAATTGCCGTGACACAACTATCTAAGGTTAGTTTTAGACGAGAAATTTCTAAAGTATGTCTTTCTTTCTTAAATTTTGTATCAAATCAAACAGTATCACATAAATTAAGATAGATGAAATAATATTTATATAACAAATGTAAGAATGTCACAATTCTACCAAGGGGGATTCAAAAAAAGAAAAGGAAAGTGATGACTAATTATTATTTTTTCAATCTTTCAATGTAGGGGTGTGATGCATCTCTGCTTCTTGACAACAGTGGAACCATAATTAGTGAGAAAAGATCAAATCCCAACAGGAATTCAGTTCGTGGATTTGAAGTCATCGATGAAATTAAAAAGACATTGGAGAAGGAGTGCCCTCAAACTGTATCATGTGCAGACATATTGGCACTAGCTGCAAGAGATTCAACAGTTCTAGTAAGTTGAATAGCTATCATGTAAAAGTACTTTTCTTTTTTTTTTTAACTCCTCTCCTATTAGCTCCCACCTTTGCTCCCTTGCTGATTCGAATTCATGTTGGAAGTATTGCATGGTGCTAAACAATGTTTTAAAAGATGGGGGTGTGACTCGTGAGGCGAGGCGTTTTATATAGTACATGGCGAGATGTAAATATCCAGACACAGGGCGTAAAATCTTATGGATCTACGAGACATAGTTTTACGTATATCCAATTTATAGTTTTATTACTAGTACAATAAGCAAAAGTAAATCTTTCAATGATTTGTGATTTTTATTTGAAATAAGTATTAATAATCAATAATGAAGAAAAAAAAGTATGATAATTACTATTTGTGAAATATCATTACACCAATAATAAAAATATGATATAAAGCAAAAAAAGTTTAAAAATAAAAACAACAGGGTGTACGTTTTTATGTCCAGGACTTGCGTTTTTATGCTAGGGGCTTACGCCTTATGAATCTACTTCTTTAATTTAAGCCCCAAAGCGTTTTTGGTACGCCCCACCCCTAGACTCGCCTCAAAAATGTTTTGGAGAACACCGATGCTAACCATCTGAGCAACTTTCTCTTGTCGTAAAAGTACATTTTACGATTAACAAAATCGACGTTTTTCATTTTTGTATATACAGGTTGGTGGACCAAACTGGGAGGTACCATTAGGAAGAAGAGACTCCAGAGGTGCTAGTTTAAGTGGCTCCAACTATAATATCCCTGCTCCAAACAACACATTCAATACCATTCTAACTAAATTCAAGTTGAAGGGACTTGATATTGTTGATCTTGTAGCTTTATCTGGTAATAAAACTCTCTCTCTCTCTTTCGCTTTCCTAGAGGACATAGATGTTAACGAATTCAACTTATATGCACTGATAATACAATACGTAAGGTGATGTTATCACGCAAACTAATGTCTTAACTTTTTGTTGTATAGGGAGCCACACAATTGGAAATGCAAGATGCACCAGCTTTAGGCAGAGACTTTACAATCAGTCAGGAAACAGTTTACCAGACTATACATTGGAACAATCATATGCTGCGCAATTGCGCGCTACGTGTCCAAGATCTGGTGGTGATCAAAACTTATTTTTCTTGGATTTCGTGTCCCCGATGAAATTTGACAATAGCTACTTTAAGAACTTGCTGGCTTCAAAGGGACTGTTGAACTCAGATCAAGTTCTTGTGACTAAGAATCAACAGTCGCTAGCACTTGTGAAACAGTATGCAGAGAACAATGAGCTTTTCTTCGAGCATTTCGCAAAGTCTATGGTTAAGATGGGAAATATTTCACCTTTAACGGGTTTCAAGGGAGAAATCAGGAAGAATTGCAGGAAGATCAATAATTAAAGGGGCATGGAAGAAATGAAAAATCGCGGCTCTATATGTTTTCTTGGCTCACTTTCCTTTTTAATCTATTGTAGAAAGTTCATTTTTCTAAATTTAAAGTAATTCACGTTTAACGAGATAATTTATAGTCACAGCAATGCTAAACTTACTATCAATCATGTTGTGGGTTCTCTATTTATGATATTCAAAAGAAAAAAGGATCTGATATATCCCTCAATTTTGTTATTTGGAACTGATATACCCCTCGTTATGAAAGTGGTTCATATATGTCATTACCGTTATACAAACGGCTCACATACACCTCTGCCCCGTTACAAAGTGAGCTCACATATAATCTTTATTTAACGGAAATTAAAAAATTAGTTTTAAATTTATATTTTTTACTTTTAATTTTTTAAAAAAAATTATTTAGGGGTATATATGATTCTTCTATCAAAGTTTAAGGTATATTTTAATTTTTTTCATACATAAATTATTTTTTTGACTTTTTTTATTATAATTATTTGAGTTTCTTATTCTTATTTTATTTTATCTTTCATTCCTTAGTTTAAAGAAAAAAATTTAAACTATTTTTTTTGTCTATATTGTAACTTGATTTTTGTATTCGAAGAAAAAAATTTGGTCATCTACAATAAGTTTTACAAGAATATAAATGAAACATAAATAAATTTAATTATCTAAATAATGTTTCTAAATTAGTCATTGAAATAAAAAAAAGTCAAAAAAAATATGCTTGACGAGGATTAAATTTATTCATATGAGATTATATTTTAAAAAAAAAATAATAAAAAATTAGATTTTTTTTTTCATATCCGTTTGAGGAAAAGGGTATATGTGAGTCATTTGTTTATAAATAGAGTATATATGAACCACTTTCATAACAAGAAGTATATCAACTCTAAAACTCTAAATAACAAAGTAGAGGGGTATATCTAACTTTCCCTATTCAAAATTGAATCACTTCAATTTTTCTTGCAAAATACTGGTTCTTGATTATAAAAGTTTTGGATCAGAACCAGGATTGTATAATGGGGTTCTTGAGTTCCCTATAAGTCCTCTGCCCATGTAACCCATGGGAGTCACATGGATACTACCTACTGTATCGGGGGCAGGAGGTAGGTGTATATACTTGGTACGTATAACTCATATTTATATGCATTGTCTATCATTATTAGAAGAATTAATTGTTGTATGCACCTGTCTGTATATAAGGGTCGATTGGGTTATGTTTGTTGTTGTGTCTTATTAAGGCTCAGTTAGGTCATTGTTTGATTATGTGTGTGTTGTTTGTGATAGTATCACTGGTCTGGCATGTACTCTCGGGACCTCCGAGTACGACAAAGTGAAAGGAGACAAGACTCACCTCCCCCTACTTTGGTAAACAAGGATCGGTTTTTTAGCAAGGTACAGAATGTATCGTCAAATATTCAATATGATTCCACAAGATCTTGTTTTCTTATATTTGATACTTTTAGATCGAATTGAATTGGACAAACCTATTGACTTTTATGATGTTCTGTGGTGGATATGGTTAGTATATCTCCGATTAGTTGACTTCTGTAGTAGAATATATTGTTGTAATTAGACTTTTGGGCTGGTGCCTCCAGGTACGTTTCTTTGTCAGTGGTGTAAAAGAAACGACTTATTCGAAGGAAAAAGAAAGACAGTGATTCATTAAAAAGAATTTATGTTATAATTCTTGTACTAAGCTCCAATCACGTGCAACTAAAAGTCTAAACCCGCTCTCTGTGTTGATCAACTTATTTTATAAACAATTAGTTAATTCAATGTCTCTATATAATTATGAAAACGATGGCCCTTTCGCTAACTTTTTTGTTTTGATCTCTTTTTTTTTAATGAAAACATAAATATAATTATAAAATTATGTATATAATTTATTGATTTAATTTGGATATATTTTAACCAAATCAAATAAAAATTGATTTTTTTTAATCAATTTGATTTAGTTTTACGATTAAGATTGATTTTTATCAAATCATGGACATCCCTAGTGATAATGAGTTAGCTTTGAAGTGTTTCAAACATTTTGAAACGTGAAAAAAAGGATATGTTAGTGTCATGAAATAGATTTGTGATGATTTATACCCTTGCATTATTGATCCAAGTTATTAATGATTTAATAATTCGTTAATTCATATCACAAATGTTTACAAAGTCTCAAAAGAAAACTAATTAACACTAAATAATTTTTTGGCGCTCATAAAGTGTTTAATAAAATGTCTTATAGTCTGTTCAACATATGCACTATGCAGGTTGAAAATTATTTTTCACTATTTAAGTTTAACTACTAAATGGACTAGATTATGAAAAATAAAGTTGGCTTTTTTAAGGTACAACAAAAACATAAGATATTTAGTGAAACTTTCTAAATTTTTGTAAGGTGATATGTTTAAATTTTTGTACTTGGAAAAAGTTAAATCTTTTTTTAAAGTATTAGATATTTGAGGGCTACATTTGTAGAAAAAAATAAAATATTTTAAGTTTGTGAACAAACCAATAAAACCTATTAATCCAGTTCAAGAAATTTTTTTCTCACAACTAAGTGATCCTTTGCATAAAATTAAAATTATTAATTCTTTCTGTAATTTTGTGAAAAATTTGCCATTTGGATGATCATTGAGAAGTAGGAGAATCTACGCACATAAAAAAAGTACACAGAGACAAACTAGAACATAAAGGTGACGTATATTATTTATATCTTCAAATTAAAAACATTTTATCACTTCGTCCTACACCTTTTTGAGGACTGTTATTTGGGCAAAAGATGATTTAATCCAAGGAGCAAACTAGAATGTCCTTTAAATAATTCTTTCACTCTCACCAACAAAATTAATTCTGCGAGAAATATCAAATGTCTATAAATAAAAATAGAAATTCCACCCCCCACCCCAACCAGCAAAAAAATATAAAAATAAAATTTATTTCTAAAAGATATTTTCAATTTCATAAATTATTTTCTACTCTATTAAAATAAAAGATGTTTCTCAAAAAACATTTTTCATTCATAAATCAAACACAAAATCATTTTCAAAAAATATTTTCCACTCGCTAACCAAACATAAAAAAATAAATCCAAATCTACCTATTTTTCGGGAAAACATTTTTCATGAAAAACATTTTCCTTCATACCAAACACACCCTTAAGGAATAATTTTTTCGAGAGAACGAAAATACGCTAATCAATAGTTTTTCATGTAGTACTATAGAAATCTTCTATTGTGGTTAAAATCGGTCTTGCGGATGATAGTCTTTGTTATGGATGGTCTTTGGCTTAAGTGGATTTGAACCCTAGTCTAGAGGGTAATATCTATAGCTTCTACCAATAGCACAAGGACATTTCTATATTTTTTACGGGTGCACTGTTAACTATATTTTAATTTCTATTAATTCTTTTTTTTGAAATATATATATATATATATATATATATATATATATATATATATATATATATGATTTTTTTCAGAAGTTAGCGAGTGCACATGCACCCCTTCCATATAGGGTGAGTCCGCCCCTGTCCACAAGCTAAACAAATAATCAACATGTTGTAAAAAAGATACACCTTGGTTATATTTCATCTCTATGGTCAACAAAATACATAACGAAAATGAAAAGTACTTTATGTTTTATACGAAAACATTTCAAGACTATGTGGGATATTTAGATTTTGAAATTATACTCTAATTTTTGGGAAGAGGAATTAGATTACATTATATTACATTTAAATTAAATATTTATTACTTTTCGCTTTTGTCTTTTAGTTATTCTCAAATTGTTTTGATAAGACAAAATTATATTGACCCCTCAAGGTTGTTGTGGCTGGCGTTTAGTTCAGAGCCATTGGCACCGGACCTACATCCTCTGATTAATTATTGTTAAAACTTGTTCACCATTCATGCTTGAGCTTCCATGATCATAACAATGAAGTTAGAAAAAGGAAGAAGAAGAAGAAGAGAAACAGTTGCAGAATTGCAGTAACAGAATTGAGAGGAAAATGAAGAAAGTGTGATGAGTGAATTGAATCAACCACCTTGTATTGTATGGAGATCATGTATTTATACAAGAAGAGAATCAAAATATCTAACAAACTCATCTAACAAACTAGTGGACTGAAATAACAGAATTAGTTAACTAACTAACTATTCTAACTAATTAATTGAAATGGCTGAGCTAACTAAACAGTTATATACAATTAATTAACTAAATCTTAACACCCCCCCTCAAGTTAGAGGTGTGGAGAACACAGACAACTTGTTAAGTGCTGCAGAATGCTTGATTCCAGTCAATGTCTTAGTTAACATGTCTGCCAGTTGGTTATCAGTACTTATGTGATGCAATGATATGAGCCCTGTCTGAAGTAAATTCCTCACGAAGTGACAATCAACTTCAATGTGCTTAGTGCGTTCATGAAGCACTGGATTTCGAGCTATATGAAGGGCTGATTGACTATCACAATATACTTCTATAGGTCTGTGTAATGGCAGTGTAAGTTCAGTGAGCAATCTGCTGAGCCAAACTAGTTCTCCTGCAACTTTCCTCAAGGCGCTATACTCTGCTTCTGCTGATGATAGGGATATGATCTCTTGTTTCTTGGACTTCCAGCTAAGTGGACTGTTACCCATTAATACAATATAGCCACTTACAGACCTCCTAGTATCTGGACATGCAGCCCAGTCAGAGTCACAGTAAGCTCTGATGTTGTAAGACTGATCTTTGGACATAAAAATTCCTAGTGTAGGATCTGCCTTAAGGTACCTCAGTAAATGAAATGCTGCTTGTAGATGTGGCTGTCTAGGATCTTGCATGAATTGGCTGAGATGTTGCACACTATATGAGATGTCCATTCTAGTGTTGGTTAAGAAATTCAGTTTCCAATGAGCTTCCTGTAGAAAAATGGTTCTGTTAAAGGTGTTCCTTCCTTTGCATGAAGTTTGATTGTAGGATCAAGTGGAGATGAACAACTTCTCATATTTCCAATCTGGTAGTCCTTCAAGATGTCAAGAACAAATTTTCTCTGAGAAATGATCAGTCCATCATCTTTATACAATACCTCCATTCCAAGAAAATAGTGCAGCCTCCCTAAATCCTTGATTTAAACTTGTCATGAAGAAATGCTTTGAGGTCATTGATTTCAGAAACACTTGTTCTAGTTAAAATCACATCATCTACATAGACAGCAACAAAAATAGTAGAAGTCTCAGACTTTTTATGGAACAAGGAATAGTCATTCAAAGAATGTGTGTACCCTTTTGAATATAAAGCTTCAGTCAGCTTGGCATACCACTGCCTACTTGCTTGCTTCAAGCCATATAAAGATTTATTCAATTTGCTTACCAATCCTGGTTTATGTACTGCTAACCCTGGAGGAACTTCCATGTACACTTCTTCATGTAAATCTCCATGCAAGAAGGCATTATTCACATCAAGTTGAAATATATCCCAGCCCTTCTTCACAGCTACTGCTAACAAAGCCCTCACAGTTGTCATCTTGATTACTGGTGAAAAGGTCTCTGTATAATCAATCCCAGCCTCTTGAGTATAACCCTTCACTACAAGTCTTGCTTTGAATCTCTCCACAGTTCCATCAGCTTTATGCTTCACTTTATATACCCATCTACATCCTATGGCCTTCTTACCACTAGGCAGGCTGACAAGATCCCAAGTATGATTTGTGTGCAATGCTTCAAATTCTTGTGTCATAGCTTGTTGCCAAGCAGGATTTACAGCAGCTTCTTCATATGAGGAAGGTTCATTATCATTACTGATGTTTCTCACAAGTGTTTGACTCTCAGAAGACAAGACCTCAGAAGATATATGTTGGTGTTTTGAGAATGCAGTGTTAAGTGAAACATGTGTATTATGTAAGTGGTCTGTCATGCTGTTAGGTAAAATATAGTCATGTAGATAAGCTGGTAATTTGTGTGATCTAGATGGTCTATTGGGAATCTGGACAGAATTGGAATCATGTTCTACATTATTGGGTGATAAACCAGTTGTAGTGTTGGGTGATGTATGAAGTGGGCT